AAAAACATAATTTCTTGATAATCTGACAACATAGGTAGTAGATTAAATTTATAAAAAATATATAAAAAAAGATCCAGTGGTTCTCAAAATTTAAGCAAAAAAGCATTTTTTGTTTAAATTTTCAAAGTGAAATAACTCGGTTATTTTGAACTTACTTGAAAAACGGTAAAGAGAAAAATGTTTCTTTTGATCAAATCTACCCTCCTTAAAATACTTGCACTTATTTCTGGGACACCCTAGGTAAGGGTCAAATCACACCAAGATATGATAATCTATATTCGTAGTATACACTTAGATCGAGACTATTTAGATGATATTTACTCTTTTCTACTGCACGCCCGCCGGAGTCTTTATTGTTGAAAATGAAAAAAAAAAAGATGTTGAAAATCGTGCTTTCTCTTTTAAATTTTCCTGTATATCTTAGAAAATTTTTTAAAACTTCCTGTTCACCGCAAATTTTCCAACGGTATAGTTTCTTAATCTTTGATATTACGGCACAAAAACAGATGCAAATACAGAAAAATTTCGGCGGCAATTTTTTTTAAAAATGTTTTTTTTTTTAATTTCAAACTTTAATCACTCGGTTATTTTGGACTTATTTGAAACACGAGTAAGAGAATATATTATTATGTTTATTTTAATCATCTCTACCAGCCCTCAAAATATTTGCACAAAGCAGCACAAATAAGGTGCACTTATAGACTCACTCTGTATAATAAATCATTTCAAATGGAAAAACAAACAACAGATCTTTATTAAAATTATTTTGTGTAAGTGTCTCAGAGAAAGACATCTAATAATAGTAGTTATTTTACATATTGGTGTTTATGTTTAAAAGCAACTGACGATTATATTAATGCAAATTAATTAGTTAGTTAGGCAGTCACTAAGAATCTTACTTTAGTTAGAAGATTAACCATTTAATTTTTGCTAAATCAATCTTTTTTTGAGCTCTGATCGAGACCGGCCCACCGGCCCATTTCCACACCGGCCCACCGGGAATTTTCCCGTTTTCCCATATGGCCCATCCACCCCTGGATGGGATCATGATATTAGGAAATTAGCAGGGATAGCTTGAGCTCGCATAGCCAACAATAGACAACAATAGGCCGAAATACAAAGAAAGTTTATGAGGGAGGCTACACGATAATTGGAAATGACTCAGTCAATTTTATCATCATATTTTAATTTGTCGGAAGTAAAAATATTGCAAACTAGTATCTGTAAGTGTCTTACTTATTTTTATTGTTATTGTAATTTATACTAAACGAGTTCCAACGAAACTACGACGTTCATAAATAAATAATTAGTCTCATTTCCTATTCTAAACCGAAAAAATGGCAGAACAACTTTCGCTAATCCACTCGGTTAATATTTTAAATTGCCGTGTTACTTCCGATTTGGAAAATGATAACGGCATTTTAACCAGTTCAGACTTTATTTTTTTCTTCCATTGGTATGCACGAACGTGCTTATAAGCTTTCATATAAGTAGCATTTCCTTGTAGAGAAAAATGAGTTTAGGAAATAGAAACGAAAATTTTTATTTTTATAAGTGTCGGTAATAATCGATTTGGAGAGATTATTACGCAACTGGAAATTTGCGATTCAATTATTTCTAGATATTAATTTGTATGATTTCATTTTTGACATGTAACTATACAGGGTGTCCCAATATTACGTGGACACAGAGCTACTACGTATTTTTGGAATCAAAATAAGTTCATTCGACACAATTTACCTCTATACAAAAGTGCTTTGTTTGTCCACTAGAGGGCATCAAACTTTAAAAAAATAAACACATTTTTTCAGATATTTTAAGAACCGTTTTTCCGATTTGAATGAGATTTTGAGTACCAATGTTTTGCTAAGTGCTTTAACATTTGACTTTCACAAAAATCAAGAAAAAGTACGGGAGGATAAAAACTATCCCCACCACTACATAAATGTTAGTATAAATATTTTCCAATTCAACCGACGACCGATTTTTTTTTCGTAAAATGGTCCTCCTAATATTCACTAAATTTTTTGTCTCTTGTAAAAAAACGCCACCGTTTTGAGAATCTGACTTCCAAAAAATGTGTTTTGTCACATCAAGCAATGGAGGCACATAAAATGTATTATACTCTAATGATCTAATTGGCGAAAATATGGAATTTTATGTTAATATCACAAATTATATTTGACAATAAGCTTCATAAAAAGCATAAAAATATTAATAAATTTTAAATTATTTAACGTTCGGGTTTATTTTTGATTGATGCCCTCTAACGGACAAACGAAGCACTTTTGTACAAAGGTAAATTATGCGCAATTAACTTATTTTGATTTAAAAAATACGGAATAATGGAACTCCCTGTATATTTTACAGGTCTGTCTGCTTTGAAAAAATAAATTCTCCAAAAATTTCTTTCTCAAAAACTATGCGATGTGGCGTTATTTTGCAAGAGACAAAATATGTGGTAAATACTAGAGGGACCAATTTGTCGTCGGTGCATGGAGTTTGAAAATATTTATACAAAAAATTATGTAGGGGTGGGGATAGTTTTTGCCCTTTCCGTATTTTTTCTTCATTTTCGTGAAAGTCAAATGTTGAAGTCAAATTTGATTTGGAGTTAGTTTTTACCTTGCAATAGATTAAAAATAGCATAATAAAATTTTGCTTGTTAATCTCGCGCGGGTATGTGTCACGTAAAAGGATATCTCTGTACAGGGTGGGTCAAATTCGACGCTTTTAAATGGAAACACCCTTTTCTATAGGAGATAAACGAAAACTAATATCGGTGTCTGGAGCTCAATTTTCATCAAAAACATGATGGTGAAAACCGCACATCAATATCTGTTACCGTTTCGGAGTTACGGGGTGTTTTTCAAAAATGTGCATTTTTAACAAATCGCTGTAACTTTTTTGCTATGGAAAATTTTGCATTTCTATGAAAACATTTCCAAAGCTACTTTTTACGTAGAATTTAATGGTTTAAGTATATATTTTTTAAAATTAATAATTTAAGAGTTATCAACAGAAAAATTTATTTTTTATTTGGGACACCCCCTATATTTTTAATTAACTGAAAAGAATTTAAAATTACCTTTCCAAAAATATAGCACACTTGATATTTTGTTATAATCCCCTTCGAAATACTGAATTTTTAAAAGTTCGCCACTTTTAAGTAGTAGGCTTTGGACCTCTTATTGATGATATGCCCTTAATGGAACTCGAAAACATATTTTTTCAGCAAGACGACGCACCGCCTCTGAACGCTGAAGTTATCAGCAAATTTTTGCAGCCAATTTCGAGAATAATTGAATAGCTAACCAAGATCACAGCCGTTGGCCGTCGAGGCCGCCTGACTTACTGCCCATGGATCTAATCCTATGTATATATTTGCGGAAGAATATAGGTTCCTTATTCTTCCGTATAATCTAGACAAGAATTAGAAATACTTAGCAGTTATGAGAGGGTATCTTTCACCCCCACTGAGTTAATGAATTCCGCGAGAAATGTTCAAAAACTGCCCCGTCTGTCCATAACAGAAGATGGTCGATATGTCGAACACTTGTAGCAAAATCTCATGTCTTAGTTTGCTATTTATTTTTATTGTTATTAGATATAGTTTAAATGTGTTGATGTTGGTTAAATATATTTTAAATTGTTATAAAATTCTGCATCTCTCATAGCAAATATTATTTTCGTTTTAATTGATGCTCACAGCTAGAATTTTTTTGCATTCCAGCCTGTGCCCTTCAAAGCCTACTTATTTAAAGCGGGCGAATTTTTATATACTCTTTATCTCGAAGAGGAATCGAGCAAAATATCAAGTGTGTTATATTTTTGGAAAGGCATTTTTAAATTCTTTTCAATAAATTAAAAATATACAGGGTGTCCCATATAAAAAATAAAATTTTTTGTTGATAATTCTTAAATTATTAATTTTAAAAAAATTATACTGAAACCATTAAATTCTACGTAAAAAGGTGCTTTGGAAATGTTTTCATAAAAATACAACATTTTCTATAGCAAAAAAGTTACAGCGATTTGTTAAAAATTCATATTTTTGAAAAACACCCCGTATCTTCGAAACGGTAACAGATATCGATATGCGGTTTTCACCATCATATTTTTGACAAAAATTGAGCTCCAGACACCGATATTAGTTTTTGTCTATCTCCTATAGAAAAGGGTGTTTCCATTTAAAAGCGTCGAATTTGACCCACCCTGTACATATCTAGTAATACAAAAGCCCAAAAAGGCTTTTGTATTAAAAACCAGGTCTCTTTGGGACTAATGGACGCCTTTTTTTAAATTTTATATCTAGTAAGTTTAAAAATCCAGTAGAAAACATTCAAAAAAAATATATTTTATCTGTCTCCTCTTCTTACAGAATTGCTCACAAATATAACTCTACACAGAATTATATCAAGCGTTCTTTCAGTCAATTGCAAAAGAAGGTTTCTTTGATCGTTCACTCGTGAAAATTTGCACGTATTAGCCGCACGAAAGTGTTCGCCATAAACATGTATGCTAACCGTAGCTGGGCGTTTTTCGGGTTCGAATCAAACTTTGATGTCAAAGACTTTTGATTTAAAAAGATTTAAACCCCATTTTGAGATGGAAATCAAATAAAACATTTTTTAACCTGTTTCAAACGGTTTGAGGATTTCCGTTTAAAAAATGCGAATTTTAATGTGTGAGTCTTATTTTTGAAACCAAACCAAACCTTATATGATACTCATCAAATTTTTGTTAACATTTTTAGTAAAATTTTAATTTTACATTGTTTATGATTTTATTCGTAATTACTTATTTAGTCTTTTATTTACCAATACTAATGAGTTCTACTGTCAGTATAACGTGTGGCAGTATACATTGGAAGTATTTCAGCTAGTTTTAACACATTGATCAAACTGGTATCTGACATTTACAGCTATATTTTTTCTATACATGTCTAAGTCGTTCACGAAAACACTTTGTATATATAAGAAATATTAATAAATACTTACGTTTAATAGAAAACTGGGGCTTTACATGGATAATCCCTTCTAAGATCTGAAAAAGAAAATAACAAAGTCTTAGTCTCATTTAAATTGTCTATGAATGAAACATTTTAAAAAAGAAGAAAAATATCTTTGTAATAAGCACATTGAACTAAAAAAAAATAATCTTTTAAGCACGTTTAAGGACAAACAGTTCTTTTAAGAACTAAATTTTCGAGTTTTTGTGAATTATTTTTTTATGTGAGTTCTTTTTTCGAGTTTTCGTGCAATATGTTGAAAATATGCCGAAGCATTTAAACAGTCGAAGTAACGAGCTTGTAGCTTCCCTGTTTTTTTTTTAAACTATTTTGAACGAGAACGTGACAATAAAGGTCCTTTATTACCCTTGACAGCAGTCAGAAAAGTAAGTTTGATTGATAAGCACATTATACCACTTTCAAACTTAGTTTTTATTGAATTCTGTGGTTATTAGTTTGTGCATTAATATCACCCTCTTATTTGTTATTACTACTTATGGCGTTGTAAGATTATGTACATCAATAAATAAATAACCCCATAATGACGCTTATAATAATCTTCATAATGGACTAAAATTTTTGCCAATATGTAATCAGTAAAATAAGCTATAAAAGAAATAAATCAATTAATCACTAAAATATTAGTTATTAAATTAAAAATAAAACGTAAAACTCTTTAAAAGTGATATAATAAATATTTATGTTGTTTGTCAATTTCAAATTAAGATTCGTCTTATAAATCCATCACAATCTGGTAGCGCTGTCGCCATCGCTTGTCAATCAAAGTTGATCACGTGCATCCGTGCATCGGGAATTGTTTTGCGATTACCATAGATTAATAATGTACCAGACAAAGAAAAGGAACATATACAGTATTAACGTTAAGATTAACGAAGCTCAAACGAAAGTGCTGATCGAACCCATTACCCAACCGTAGCATTAGGGCATCCCAATCAATTGTTACGTTACCATCCACCAGCTATCCGCAACCTTTCATAATATCTGTTTTCGCTGTTCAATTTCTTTTTCTCACGAATCCTCCGATGTCGGTGCACACATCCACTGGAAACATCGTCGAATCGAACAGCGAATAACGTTTCATTTTCGACCTGGTTCGAATATGAAGGTAATTACGGGTTGCTGGACGCACCCATCATACCGTGAGCTTCTTCGTGACCATTGAGTCTCGTGGTGTTAAATGCAGAGATCGCGCTCTTTGCAGTCGTCGAATTCTTTTAGCGATGATGGAATTCGCAAGGGGAAGATGCTAGTTGTTGACATTATCGATTTGGAGGTTTCGGGTTTTGTTTTTGGTATAACAAGATTTCTGTTTTTGTGGGATCGCGATTTTAAATACCAACTTATTTTTTATGGGTTCTAGTTTATCAAGGATGCCTTCATTGAAATTAGATTTTATTTGGGGAATATTCGAATAATCATATCGAATGCCATATACCAGCCGTCTTTGACGCTATTTTTTTCCGATCCTATGATATAATATGTATCTGCAAGCGAGTAGTAGTATCATATTGTACCAGTTCTTAATAGTAAATCAGATCTTACATCATTACCATCATTATTTTCAGTGTAGCCTCCTTCACATTGTTGTCTATTGTTGGCAATGCGGACCGAAGTTATCGCTACTAATAAATACTGTTCGTTTTCAAATTGTCACCCTGTATAAATATAAAAAAAATATTCATATAGTGTTCTGAATGAAATCAAGAACAGTAATTAATGTAATTAATTTGGTCTAATTGATGTTCTTGCAATTAATATCGTAGATATTACAATAATTATTTATTTTACTGTCTGGTATGGTTAACTGAGTATTGATGTTACTAACTACTACTTTCGAAATTTTAATTATCAGAAAAATCTCTAGTTCAAGAGTGAAGGTGGTCAATAATTGTTTTTAGCCTCTACTGAATAACCTTGATTGAAAAAAGAGCTGTAATTAGTCCGAATTTTGTTTCTTTTTGAGTCCCCTCCACCCAAATCTATACTAACAATGTGGCATATGTGACTTCTCCTCTTCTTCGATAAAGCACACTACTTAAAAATACAGTAAGCGGGCTAGTAACTTGAAATTCCTCTGAACCATGATACAGCTGGTTTCTGTTAAATATACATGTACCGGGTGTCTAAAAAATGAAGGTATAACTTTGTGGATATATTTTATGACAATGACTAAAACTTGATTAACGAAATCGGAATTTATTAGAATTATTTCAGTAATTTTAACTTACTAGTTATTTTCGATTTAATATTTACACCTTTGTGGCTGGTTGATCATTGGAAAAAATGCTAGGATATGCGTCAGTGACCAACAAAAATAAAAAATAATATATTTTTAGTAAAATGCCACTATGTTAGAATCGAAACACTGCGTTGCTTGTAAACAAATTTGCCTACCCAAAAAAGGCTTAACGTGTCTGGAGTTATATCTCCACCAAACTTTTAAAAATCTTACTTCGAGAACACTAGCTTTTTACCACAGGTACATACGTCTATTAATACCTTTGACATTTTAAGGAAGACTTGAATTTTATCAAGCTGTTCAATATTTGACTGAAAATTGAATCTGACTCTTACCATAGTTTACCCACTTTAGAACGAAATATAGTTTCTGTCCAACGAATTCACGGGTAAATTGTATTTTCTGTCATTTTTGGATGTCGTCTGTCGAAATTTTCCCTGGCTCATTGGACACAATTTATTCTCGTTCGTATGATATTTTTTTATATTATCGATCACATTGAGTATATAAACAAACTATAAAAAACGCAATTTGCGACGCCCTGTATATGTGTGTATAGGCTAAACTGGTCAGGTCTTCGCTTAGAGACACACGAGGTACCGCAATGTGGTAACCGTTAATGTCGGAAAAAAGGCCTTTAGTCGATACAATCCGAAACTCGTTTGAGCAAAATTGTGACACACTAATCCATAGAGATTTTTATTTGTTTATTTAAACGACACGATTAACCTGAGGTACAGTGAGCATCCCTCAGACTAACAAATATATTTGATTATTCATTGTTCAAAAATTATATGTATGTGTCTTATTCATTTTTTTTTTATAGGTGAGAGTCGATCGTGATGTCACTATTAAGAGATTAATGATCTATTTCTAATTCAGTGGAAGATAGATGAATACGAGTTCACTCTAAGTTTGATTTTTTATGATCTATCACTTATTATCTTTACTTATTTTCAGAAGCGGTTTCTCAATAAGTACACGTATGCACGTGAACCCCCAAATATTAAGCCTCTTTTTAATAAAAAAAATATAATTTTTTCATTAGGTTTACTTCTACTTATTCCAAACAAGATTTGTCATGAACTTGAATCTTCTACACAAAAACTTCGGCGAATTTCTTCTGGCATTAAGGCTTAAACGGAATTAACTTAAAAGAAATGGTTGAATAAGCTGAAAATGATGAGATAGATCATTTTCAGATTATTCAACCATTTCCAATTAAGGTGGAGCTTCCCTCACATACTCTCTTTGCAGTTGGGCCCATTGTTGTCTATTATTGACTATCCGGGCCCAAGTTATCCCTGCTAATTTCCTAATATCATGGTCCCATCTCAAGTTCGGTCTTCTTCTAGGTCTCTTAATTCCTAGTGCTGTAATTTTTGTAGTCCATCTGTTATCCGTTCTTCTCGTTTGCCAGGTGTCCTGCCCATTGCCATTTGAGGGATTTGACTCTGTGAATGACATCAGTTACCTGTGTCTTTTGTCGTATCCACTTTATTCTTTTACGGTCTCTCTTCATTATTCTCAGCAAATTTCATTGCATTGAACGTTGTGCGATCTTCAGTTTCCTTGTGATGTCCGTTTTAAGGGCCATTTCGCACCAACACAGTCCAATCCAGTCACGATCAGTCACGTCGGACGTTACTGAATCCAATATAGGACAGTCATGAGAAAAATAAATACGGGAACGAAAGTTCATTTCAAACAAAACACGTCGTGTACAGTCCAGTCGCGTCCAGACAAGTCAAGGCTAATAGTGATTCATTCGTTCGAATTTTTATGCCAGTCATTTGCGATATTTGTACACAAATGTGCTGAAAAAAAGTAACTGTTGAAACAGTATCACACAGATAAATATATCGCTATAAATGTTTGCAATGTAGACTTACAATTGGACATTTTCTTTTAAAATATCGAAATGGTTCACTCTGTAGATATTCTAATGCAACATCAGATTTATTTGTTTTATAGGTTTCTTGCCGTTAATTCTGACTCATACATGTAGTCGTATGTTGAAAGATTGAATGTGGAGATAAAAATTTTAATACGTAATTCTTACGGTATATCTGATACCCAAAGCTTAGTATTAGCGTAATGTAAATTCTATTGTTTTACAGTTATTTTGTTTTGTTAATATATGTATAGCAGTAAAATTTTACGTCTTGTCGAGCATAGATACAGAACAATGTTGGATACCTTCTTATTTTAAAGTTTTAGTTATTATCTAGGAAGTTTGTTGAATGAAACCTCATTAAGAACATCGAATTTAATGGAATACTCGTAAATTAGTAGTTTCAATTCTACTTTATACTTACTACTACTACTGCCATTACCCGCTGACGAGTATTTGACACGCATCAGAAGATAGTTACACAAGGCGTTTTCGTTCATCGGGTTTTCTGTGGCTGAAAAGCCCGATACGTGATTTTATTTCTCTTCCGCTCTCCGGACATTCAAAAATCTCATTGTTTGTTGCCTCTTTACTTTTTGGTTGTCGTTCTTAACTGAGTTTACAATTCTTCTCCATTGGGTTCTATTGTGCGCTGCTTTCTCCCACTGATTCTGCATGTTTATCCCTTTTAAGTTTTCGTGAAAAATATTCTTGTACCTTTTAAATTGTCCATCCGGTTTCTTCTTATCATCTACCGCTCTTATCTCTAGCTCACCGTAAAGAAGAGATTTTGGTAGGAGGTTTCCTTGCATCCTGCATACGTGAGCAGCCCATCTTAACCGGGATTTAGCAATCGTGACTTTGGCGCACTTGCAGCTAGC